TTATCCTCAGGAGGGAAGCACCTTGAGCTGCGCAGAGCCGACACGGGGTGCAGTTGATGGGAATTACTTACCTTTGTAGTCGCCTTGTGGGTGAGAGCTGATGTTTTAAAATTCTGCTTCAACTATGGTCAAACAAAAAAAACCCAAAAGATTGAAAGGCAACCTCGGATTTGTTTCCCTTTGAATTTAATTGTTACTGGGTCAGACTGTCACGGTTGTCGTAATAAGACAAATCAATTGGATAAGAGGGTGGATGTTTTTGAGAGGCTGTCGGCAATGATCGATCGCATCGTTTACTGACTGCGCCTGGGAATTTTGATGACACGAAGTCTCCGCGCTTTATCTTTCCTACATTAAAATGAATGAACATGCCATGAATCCGTTCCAGCCTTCCCAAAAGTAAAACTACAAAAAATGTTTGTCATGCGTTTTGTGTTCAGGGCGCAGTGTCATAATGAAGACATACAAACATGCAGAGTGTCACCATAGACAAGTGCAAAAAGAAGCTCACCATTGTTACCACTCCCTGCATGGATTTTTATTTTCTTTGGTCACAAAAAAAAAAAAAAACAAAGAAAATGCAAAAAGGATTGATCCTCACCAAATTAAAAGCACTCCAAATGTTGATATTTGGCGCGACATATTAACGGGAAAAAAAATCTCACTTGTATGACCTCAGGCGGTTCGATTTTGGAGGTTTTTGCTGTACTCATTTTCCAGAATATTTAGTGTGTGCGTGGTTGAGTGTAATGAATGATGCACATGTGTTCTTTGTAGACATGAGAGCACGGTGTACCTTTATATATCGTGTTAGTCACACCAATTTTAACCTAACTATGGAAAAAAGGATAAAAAAATTCCGGGTGAGGCTGCAAGTCTCGCCTATTAGTCATCTCTTCCTCACCAGGAGGCGTTCGATTAGCAGCTGATTAGGCTCCAAAGTCCAATCAAGATAAATGTCCGTTGTATTCAACTCAGCTCTCTCTGTTCAACAATGCATCACTGCTCAATGAAAATCATAAAACTTTTTTGGGGGGGTGCAGGGAGCAACAAAAAAGTTTTTGATCTCACCCAAAAGAAACATGCACCAATTTCACCAAGTCAATTTGTGTCATGCTTGGCTCAATATTTTACCGGATATGTATTGCCCCCAACGTAAAGATGTACCGCATTTTCCGCACTATCAGGCGCACCTAAAAACGTTCAGTTTTCTCAAAAGCCAACAGTGTGCCTCATAATCTGATGCGCCTTATATACGGATCAATATTCTGATTTCCTGGACGTAGTATTTTAAATGTTCTGTAAAGCGATTTGTTACAGCTGCAGCGTTTGTGAACGCGCTATATAAATAAAGCTGTATTGTATTGTATTCCCTTTAGCGTAGCTCCATCTAGTGGATGCATTATGCAACTGTGCCTTATAATGCGGTGCGCCCTAAGAAATGAAAATTTGTTTCGTGCACCTTATACTCCGAAGCACCTTATAATGCGAAAAATACGGTACGGGAAAAAAAAAAACAACAGCTCAGCAAATTGTTTTGGCGCAAGCTACTTTCTAGATTTGTTGGTCAGTGTTGCCATAAAGGTCACCAGCAATCATGCGCAACTCAAATTCTTTTTATTGTAGTTGCTGTTGTTCTTCATTTTTTTTTTTTAAATCTGAAACTAGCCAAAGCAATAACAAGAGGTTATTCAGTGTTCAATATGCGCTTCATCTAAAAAGAACAATCACGATTTCCACGGGCTACACGAGCCATTGCAAGTTGAGCTGATGGAGCCTTCATTTATTAAATTTCACCGCGGATTTGCATATTTTTACACAGCGGATGACTGCGCTGGCATCTTTGACAATTTGTTATTAGACTTTGAACACTCGGGGCATGGGGGGGGGGTGTGATTTGGATGCTCCAATTTGGAAATAAATAAATAACTAAAAAAAATAAGACACTGATACTTCGCCTGGAGACAACGCAGTCCTTTCTCAGCTTTGATGTTCTCATGTCGGTGCATGCGTTAATCTCACCGTCGGTGCACACATGCAGGGTCAGAAAGAGGGTCTTCATTGGCGGGGGGGTCGTGGGGGGGGTTGTACATCTGTCATGAGATGGACCCTAAACGACGACGAGGCTTACACAAGTTCACGAGGAGTGGACCTTTTCAAGGTTTGTGATTGCACACTGCAGGCATGATGAGGAGGCTGAGGACAAAGAGGCGCCCGCTGCCGCCGCCGCCACCGCCCGGATGCTTTCTTTCCTTCACAATAAAAGAGCACGTGCGGCGGATGACGAATTGGTGGGAGGGGTGGGGGGCTGCAGCCCCCCATCCCTCCCCCGTGACCGTTGTGAAGATAAGCTAATCGAAAAATGGATGGATGGATGATTAGAGTCCAGACAACTTTCTTCTGCATCATTTTCCTCCTGGCTTGCGAGACAAAGTCAAACTTCCCAAAGGTAGGCAAAACTTTCATGCGATGGGATTTGATTAAAAAAAACAAAACAAACAAACTCATAACTTGGTTTTCACCTGAGTTTTCTCTTTCATATTGCTTAAAAATATGAATTAGCCAATAAATAATCTTTACAGTGGTTTTAAGTACAGATGTGTGTCACATCGGCCACCCGGACAATCGGGTCATTCACACTTTATTTCAAATGTTTTGGCCGCATCATTCAAACATATTCCTGTGACTTTTCTTTTCACTCTACTTGAATGTGAGTGCATACAAATGCAAAAAAAAATAAAAATAAAAAAATCATTGACGCTTTCCAGATATTTCCGAAAGTATTTTTCTCCATGCTTGTTCGAAAGCATGTCTCTGTGTGTGACCTTGTATAGTACGTGATGACGAAAACGCTTTTATTGTGGAGATCTAAGCGGAAGTGGAACGCGGTTGTAAAACGGCCGCTGGGTAAAAAAGAAAAAAAGCAACGTGCGCTCACACCTCTCGTGCGCACAAGGAATAAAGGCGCGCGCCACGCGCGAGGACGATCTTCTTTGCGCTCCGCCGTCCACGAGGTGACCAGAGGACGCCTCTCTTTTTATTTATTTATTTATTATCCTTTTTTTTTTTTTTTAATTTCAACAGTGCCCCCTTTTCCTTTTCTTCTTGCCAAAACTTATCCAAAGTCCTGAAACAGACAATGGCACGTAATGACGCGCCGGCGTCTCCCCAAATGTTTTTGGGGCAGCTCGGTGAAGCGCGCCGCTGAACTTGGCGAGTGCGACGAAGGTGAGAGCGGGGGCGGGGAGGGCTAAAGGGGGCGTGGGGGGTGCGACGGTGAGGATGCTGCGGGAGCCCCGCTAACCATGGGCGTGTTGGAGTCCAACTCCAGCGGTAACTTGACCCCGGCGGTGTCCGGCGGCGGCGGGCAGCCACTGTCGGGCTACCTTGCGCTGCTTCTCTCGGTGCTGATGGTGACGTTGGTGGCCACGGTGGTGGCGGGCAACGCGCTGGTCATCCTGGCGTTCGTCGTGGACAAAACCCTCCGAACTCAGAGCAACTACTTCTTCCTCAACCTGGCCATATCTGATTTCCTCGTGGGTGAGTTGGCCCCTTTGTGTCTAGCCTTTTTTTTTTTTTTTTGCACTCACATTTTGGATAATTCCCCCCCCCCCGGCCCCCCCTCGCGCTCTCTCCGTTTCTGCCTCCTTCAAGTCTTTTGTTCCTCCCTGCAATTATCTCCCAATCACTCACTACGGAGTGGCCAATTTATCTTCAAAACAGCTAAAAATAGATTCATTTTTTTTAATGAATTGAGGAGGGGTTCTTCCTCACACCCTCTTTGTGCTGCTCTTATCTGCAGCGCTGAGGGTGAATTAACCCCCCCCCCCCCTTTCAATCAAACCACTGCAGGAAATCTGATTGCATTCCCAAAACGTTCTTCGTCTCCTCTCCCTCGCGTGAGCAAACTGGCATGATTGCCCTTCTCATTGTCATCCTCATCATGATGTGCATGATGGTGTGCTCCTAGGCGCCTTCTGCATCCCGGTGTACATCCCGTACAACTTGACGGGCAGGTGGATGCTGGGCAAGGGTTTGTGCAAGGTGTGGCTGGTCATGGACTACCTGCTCTGCACCGCCTCCGTGTTCAACATTGTGCTCATCAGCTACGACCGCTTCCTGTCTGTCACTAGAGCGGTGAGTACCACCGCCGACCCCCCCCCCACCCCCGCGCCTCCCCCA